CTGAGGAATCAAAACATAAATTACACAAATTTTTCCCAACTCTAAACTTATGTTTAGCCTTTTCATATTAATAAGAAAAACCACCAACACTTTGGAGCTTTAACAATGCATCAAGCATTGTTGAATTTTTTCTTTACCCATTGTGTTCATTCTCACAGATACTCAATTTCCTATTATTTCCATTTTGGAATATGAAAACACAGCCAAACTGTTACATATCTCATGTGAGGCTGAAAAGTTAGGTTGCAGAAGTAGGATGTTTCCCATCCCTCTCAAATCTCATATTATCACTTGTAATACTTTTTACGTCTATTTGCTCGATTTCTTATTTTCCTCTAACACAATATAGGCACCAAAAAAGTAGGGTCTTGTGTTTGGTTCAATACTTTAGCCTCAATGTTGAGAGAGTAATTACACTCAGATAATGCTCACTATTTACTGAACAAATGAATTATTGGAATTTAACAATCTTCTCTAGGCCACCACCACACTGTCAGTTTTAATAATGTAAAAGACTTACTCTCTTGCCAATACTAAATGTGCACTGCAATCACAACCTTTCAACATTTCCAGAGAACTGAAATTAGTGGCACAATGACTCTGCCACCAAGTTCAAATCTTTATTAAACAAGTTATTTAATTTGGACTTATCTGATATTTTTCTCCTCATGATACTATAATTTTATATATATATATATACATAATATATACACACATATTTATATAGATACAAAACATATAAATATATAAAATACTTATATAAAATATATTTTATATATATATATATGAAAATTCTAAAACACAAGGTCTTGGGTCCAATACTTAACACCAGAAAACAAAACAAAATAAAACAAAACCTAAAGTCCTTTTAAACACAATGTCTGGCATTAAGTGAAAAACTGAGAGACATCATGAGAATTGGGAAAGTGGGACATATAATGAAGGAGGGGACTCAAAATGACCCAGAGAAAAAGATCTTAAAAAGTAACCAAATCAGTTCTTCACAGCATCACTTCTTCCAGCATTTAGAAAATTTAAATCAAATGATCATTAGTTCGAGTAAGCCTGGGCTACAGAGACCCTGTTTTTTTTTTTTTTTTTTTTTTTTTTTTAAAAAGTAACCAAATTGACATTCTAGAGTTGAAAAAATGGTATCTTAAATTAAAAATTTAATGAATGATACACAATTTGCAGCTGGAAGAAAAGATGAGAGGAAAAAATGAAGGGGCATTTCCATGAGTGATTTCTAAAATATACTAATAAATGAAAAAAAAAAAAAAAAAAAAAACAAGGCATGAAAGAATACCTTATTGTACCTTCCCCCCCCCAAAAATTAAACAGTATCACCAGAAGAAAAAAAAAAACAGACAAATTTAAACTGAGAAACATGTTTTAAAATCCCTAGCTACTCACATCACAGAAACAATTCAGTATTTAAACATGTATATCCAATTCACTTAAGAGTATGATCTCAAGGTGTATCCACTTGGCTAGAATGTCTCACGATAAACTGAAAGTGCAAATAAGGACCAAAATATATAATAAATATTGGGAAATAGGAAGACAATGAGAAGGGAAACAAGGGATGGAGGGAACATCCTGAAGGAAAAAAATGGAAACAAAACTTTTTTTAAAGGAGGAGGAGAGAGCCAGGTATGGTAGTGCACACCTGTAATCCCGCCACTAGGGAAGCTGAAGCAGGATTGTCGAGAGTTCAAGAGCAACCTAGGCTGCAAAGTGAACTCAAGCCACCCAGAACTGCATAGTGAGACCCTGTCTTAAAAAAAAAAAAAAAAAAAAAAAAAAATGGAGAGGATGAGAGAGGAGTGGAATGGGAAAAAAGCAGCAAAACATACAAATTCCCTATGATGGATGTTATTATCTAAAATGTACCAATACAAAAAAATTAAATATAAATTTTAGGGCCAGGGGTTTAGCTCAGCGGCACAAGCACCTGCCTGGCAAGCTCGAGGTGATGAGTTTGATCCCCAGTACATATATATATATATATATATATATATACACACATTTTAAAAAAAAAAGAACTACAGAGGGTCCTCCTATAAGCTAATGTCAGTACCAGCCTTGCCACTAAGTCTGTATAGCCCAAACCTAGAAGGAAAAAAAAAGAAAAACCACATATCTGGCTAACACTCCTCAGAACTAATAAGGACATCAAAAAATAAAACAGCTGAGTGTGGTTGTACACATCCATAATCCCAGCACTTGGGCTGGAGGATCCTAAATTAAAACCCAGTGTGAGCCGGGCATGGTGGCTCACGCCTGTAATCCCAGCACTCAGGAAGCTGAGGCAGGAAGATCATTGTGAGTCCCAGACCAGCCTAGGCTACAAAGTGAGCTCACGGCCAGCCTGAACTGCACAGCGAGACCCTGTCTCAAAAAGAGGGGAAAAAAAAGAAAAAGAAAATCAGTGTGAGCAACTTAATAAGAGCCTGTCTCAAACAAAACAAAACGAAACAAATGAGCTGAGGATGATGTTCAGTGTGAAGCCCGTTAGGTTCAATCCCCAGTACTGCCACAAAAAGAAAACATAATGTGAGGTCTTGGACAGGATGACTATGCAGCAATCATTACAGAAGAATTGATCAAATTCAATAAGGTTTGTAGTTTAGTGATTTGCTTTGTTTTGCTGAGACAGGGTCTCACTATAGTAGTTCAGGTTAGCTTGGAACTCAAAATGTATTGAGACCTGGTCTCAATCCTCCTGCCTCAGCCTCCTAAATTGCTGGGATTACAGGCATGTGCCACTATGCCCAGCTTAATGATACTACTCCAATGCTAAAACAGAGTACAGGAAGTAACTCTTGATCTGAGGACATGTACTGACCCCCAGAAATGACTATGCATCTAGCAAGGGGTGGAGAGTGAAGTGGGAGTGGAGGAAGGACGTGACAGAAAGTAAGAACGTCAGCATTTTCAAAGGGAGACATTTAAAAGGTGATCTTCTCCATATAGATGTGGTACCTCCCCATCTTTCCAACCCTGCCAGCGTAGACAGGAACAAACTAAAGGTAAACTTGCCACTATCTCAACTTCCAAAGGTAACCAAAGAGGGAGTAAGGAGTGCTTCAGAGCTGAACAAAACAAAGGGAGGAGCCACGTATGGTGGTGCTGGCCTGTAATCCTAGCACTCTGGAAGGCTGAGACACAAGACAAAGTACTAGTCCACCCTGGACAATTTAGTGACTGACTTATATCTCACTTAGCATTTGTAAAAAGGGCTGGGAATGGAGCTCAGCACTCCTGAGTTCAATCTTCAATAATGAGAGGAAAATATAATAATTTTTTAAAAACTGGTACAACCACTTTAGAAAACAGTAGACATATCTAATACTGCGGAACCAGATCATAGTCTATGACTAACAATTTGATTCCTAGGTTTATATTCCATTTCAACGAAGGTTAATGGTCAAGAACATTTATATCTATGTTTTATAATACCTAGAAGCTCTAAAACCTGGGAACAAAACAAGCATTCATTATGATAGAGCAACTTGTGACGCATTCACAAAATAAAATTCAATAATCAATGAAAAAGAACTACATCAAATAGATTAATCTCACAAATATTTTTTAAAATGAAGCAAACTCAAAAGAATGCAGGATAAGAACATGACATCAATACATCAAGTTCAAATAAGTTTACTAATGCACACTCTCATGTGTTAAAATCATAAAGACAAGCAAAAACAAAATATCACCGTAGAAGTCAGAGTAATAATTACCTATAAAGAAAATGGTTAAAATTGGATAAGGCATGGTGGGGGTCAACATGCTCAACAACAATTTATTTCATAATGTGAGTGCTTTATGCATGTTAACCAACTGTGAATTTTTTTTACACACTTTCTAAACGTGTATTTTACAATAAAAAATAGGAATACCAGGGTTCCTGTAATCCCAGGATTAGGGAGGCTGAGGCATGAGGATCAAAGGAGTTTGAGGCCAGCTTGGGCTACACAGTGAGTTCAAAACCAGCCTAGGGCCAGGGATTTAGTTCAGTGGCACAGGCACTTACCTGGCAAGCACAAAGTCTTAAGTTTGATCCCCCAGTACCCCCCAAAAAAAAGACCAGCCTAAACTACATAGCAAGATCCTGTCTGAAAAGCAAAAGGTGGGGATGATCATGAGATCATTATAAAACAGCTAATAACCCAGTACTAGCAACTATAGTCACCTAAAAAAGCCAAAGTTGTCATATGAAAACATTCACTAATCACTTTAACAAACTGACATACATTCATCACCTAACGAAATGATTACACAAACTCTCCTCAACCTGGCTAACATCATCAACTTCTCTAAGTGTAATCATCCACAATACAAATAAAATTATTTGCAAATTCATTCAACAAACACCAAACACCTACTACTTGTTTGAGGGGCCAGCAAAATCCAAGAACCATAAAAACCCAAGTAGAAGACAGAACCTTTATTGCCACCCCAATGCAGCCTTCACCCTTGTACCTTCCTTTTCCAAGTTTCAAACATGAAGTATCTCAAAGCAGTAATTCATGGCACACGTCAAATTATGAATATCTATTCTCTAGATGAACAATCTGCTTGGATTCATTTGGCAAAATGACGGCTTCCCATTTTTCAAGTAAGCAGAGGACTGCCACATCTGGAGCCTCAAGGCTTAAGAAACAAGGGTGAGGTTGTAGAAAATTGATCAAAATGGTGTCAAAACACATTGAATGCTTTCCCTGGGAATCAGAAACCAGAAGCTCGCAACTTTTCGGAAATCACGTACTAGATTTTGTGTGTGCATGTATTTTTCACAGCTCAGAGTCCAGAATCCTCAAGTCATTCTCAAAGGGGTTCAATCACAATGGGTGAAAAAGGTCTGCTCCCAACAAGTGGCACTGAATACCTTTGGAGGGGCTCGGTGAAAGTGAATGAAGTCCCAGGTGGGTCAGCTGAGTCCAAACCCAGGTGTCCTGACCCCAAGGCCTATGCTCTGAGCGTCCAATACTTACTCTTAGTTCTTCGAAGGCTTCATCTAGGGTGGATAGCTGGTGGCCCTGGTGCGCCCCAATGACTGGACACAGCACGCAGATGAGCTGCCTATCCTCCTGGCAGTAAGTGCTCAAATCGAGCCCATGGTCCGGACATTTCCTCTTGGCCACTCTCTCCGCCTCCATTTCTATTTCTGGGTCAAATTCGCTCTCTGCCTCAGTTTCTCCTTCCGCCTCGGATTCTCCGTCTTGGTTGTCCTCCTCGGCCTCGCTTTCCGGCTCATCTTCCATGTCGTCCTCACTGTCTTCTTCGCTCTCTTCCTCGCTTTCCTCCTCACTCTCCTCCTCCATCTCGCTCTCCTCTTCCGACTCGCTGCTGTCGTCCTGGGACTCGCTCTCCTCCTCCCCCTCCGGCTCCGCTTTGGCACCTATGGCTCCCGGGTCGTCCTTCCCCTGCCCATCGACGGGTGCCCGCGAGGTCCAGACTTGGGCGCCATGGACGTACTGGGCCAGGTGGTGACTGAGGAACTTGTGCCTGTGCGCCTCGGCGTGGCGGCGGCAGTAGCAGAAGCCGCATTCCCGGCACACCTCCTCGGCCGCGGCCGGCGCCTCGTCAGGCTCGCACTCGTCACACGTGCCGTCATGAGGCAGCTCCTCGAAGGCCGCGCCCACTCCGCCGGCCATGTGGAGGCCCGGACTCCACGGTCGAGGCCTCGGGGCCCGCGAGCTCCTCTGCCGTCCCTCGGCGCCGCGGCCTCCCCGCGTCCACCGCCTGCGTTCCGGGGCCCTTTCCGCGGGGGTCGCCCCCGGGCTGGGCCGCGCCGCGTCTCAGAGCGCGGGAGGCCTGCGGCCGCGGCGCACCCTGCTGGCCCGGAGCGCGGGCCCTCGCACGGCTCGGGCTGCTCCGTGCGGCGCCCGCGTCCTCCCGCCGCGCACTTCCGGTGCGGACGCCCCCGCGCGGCGCCCCCCACCCGCGCAGTCTCGGCGGCCGCGGCTCCTTGGCCTCAGCCGCCTCGGCCAGATCCTGGCCCCGCCGCCCCGGTTCCACTTTCCCTTCGCGGCCAGGCGGCCCCTTTCACTTCCTGAGTCACTTAAAGAGGCAATGGCCCTTTTCCGTTCCGCCGCGGCCTCCGCGAGCCGCGGGGGATCCCGGCGTCCCCGGAAGGAGCAGGAGGACGGACAAGGCCTGGAGCGCCGGCCCCGCCTCCCGCTCCCTTCGCGTGGTGTCTGCCCGGCTCTGCGAACCCGCGGGCCCGGGAGTGCCGGTGTGCCACTCGCATCCCCAGGGCTCTGCAAGGTGCCAGGACCTGCGTTGTGTGCCGGGCTTAACCCAACCGACCTCTCGGAATTCCAGGAGCGCTGCACAAAGCTGTTTCTTCTCCTAGGCCTGGGCCATCAGCCCGAGCAAAAACCATTTCCCATCCTGAGCAATTCTGGGCTTAGTCGCTTTTCAAAATCTTCTTTGTGTTTCTGTCTCCTGTGAGCTCAGCACCTCCGGGGCCTTAGCCTTTTCTGAGAGCTGCTGCGAGGTAGGCTGCTATACTAGGTGAAGGCAGGTGAGGAATGTCAGTGTTTGTGGAGAGTTCGAGGTTGCAGTCCCCATTCCCTTAGATGAGGAGACCCTCTAGACTCCGAGCAGATTCCCAAGAGAAACAAAGGGAGCCGTTAGATACTAGACTAATAAAATGCTTAAAGTAGTGCGAGATCTTTGGGGTTCTTTAAAACACCTTTTAGAAGATCCCCAGCCCAGGGACCCCAAATCCTGGGGCTACAACATAACCGGTTTTGCTTTAATGGACAAATTAATTCATGACTCTGTTTTACACTTAAAAAATAAACACCATGTAAAGTGGAAATAACACTTCTAAGATTGTTTTGTGGATTAAATGTAAAGGACCATGCAGTGTAGCTCACTAAACTTTAATTATTGTTTTGGCACAAATTATATTTAATGCCTACAATAACCCTTTGAAGAGGTCTTGAAGTGCTTAAACGCACAAGGTTGGCTGTTGGTTTTGTGGCCAATTCCTTTATTTTTGTCTCATATGATTGACTCTCCACAGAGAAGCTTTTGGGTTTGTGTGTGTGTGTGTGTGTGTTTTAAGTGTACTAGTACATTTTAGATATCACATTCATTATAGGGAATTTTGTACCTGTATATGATATCATATTCTTTTTTCCCATTTCCTACCCTTCAACCCTCTTCCCCTCCTTGTCTACAAAAGCTTTGTTTCCATTATTTCCTTGTTTTCTCATTTTTCCCCCTTTCTTTCCCCTCCCCGTTCCTGCTCCCTCGTTCCCATTTCCATTTAAACATTTTCATGCTGTTTCACAGTATCCACTGTACCTTTTAGTCCTGCTTTACACTTTTGGTTTCCAACACCAGAGACATAATGCAATATTTGAGAGAGGAAAAAGGACATTTTTTTTTTAATCTAGTTGGGGGAAAGGACTAAGAGGGGTGGGAGTGGAAGGGTGTCTGCTTTCCATTCATTTCCTCAAGTAACTTTAAATTGGGATTTCTAGATGATCTCCACAAAAGTAGGAAGAAATGAAGAAGATAAAAAAAAACATTTTAATACTTTTTAATATCACTGGGCATAATGTGAGTAATCTTTGCTAGATATTTTTTTAATCTCAGAACACTTTTCTAGAATCTTGGGAGGAAATAGATGTTTTGTTACAGAGCCATACATATTTCTGTTTTCTTACAATTCATTCCTCTGCAAATTATTTCTGTCTCTGTCTAAAACAGGGATTGAAAATCAACATTAGTATATCTAGTAATGTTCCTTGCTTGGTTATTTCTACCACTGCCCCAGGTTTAAAAGGAAACATTTACAAACACAATGTTAGCACATTTAGAAAATGTTTTTCTAATGTGGTAAAAGGACATTTTTGTATCTGGGGTGTTTGGTGGGGGAAGAAGCTGTTTTGTTATTTTTGTTCTTGTTAATGTTTCTTCTTTAACTTGACAGACAAAATATAATACTGTACAGTTCAGTATCTGATACTTTGTAGTCCTTCTTTCATACGTGTCTTAGTTTCCTTGTCACTGGACAAAATATTGGACATCCACAATTTAGAGAAGGAGAGGTTTATTTTGGCTCACAGTTTGGCAGGGTTAAACATGGAAACAACATGGCAGAAGTTACCTCTGGACAGAGGAAAGCTGTCCATATCATAGAACCCAGGAAGCAGAGAAGGGAGAAAAAGCATCAGGAGATCTACTGTTCTTCCAGAGCACACCTGCAGTGATCTGCCTCTTCTCATCAGAGCCCAAATATCAGCAACAAGTCAGCTATATTACCCCAGTGATCCAATCACCTTCTAAAAGGCTCACCTATGAGCACATGAGGCTCTTGGGGGAACATCTGGATATAAACCATAGCAATCCTTCTATACAGAGAGGTTCTTAAAAGCAGAAGCAGATTAGGTACTTCATAAAGTCCTGCTTATACTATGTGACAGAATAAGATGGTCTTCTGTACAGAAAACAGAACCATCTGATTCCCTAGGAATTGAAATTTTTGGAAACATCCTTGTTATGTTACTCTGTGTAGAAAATTATCTCAAAATTTAACAGGTTAAAATAATAAACATCTATTATCTCACAGTTTCCATGAACCAGAAATCTTGGAGCAGCTTTGCTGGGTGACTGATTCGAGGTCTGTTAAGAGATTTCAGGAAAGACGGGAGCACTGCAGACACTCGAAGACTAACTTAACAAATGTAATTTTCACTTCCAAGATGGCTCGCTTACATGGTTATTGACAAGAGGCCTCACCATTTTTTTATAGGACTGTAATTGTTCTATGACCTAACAGTTGAATTCTCCCAAAGCAAGAAATCCAGCAGAGTACAAGATGAAAGCTACAATGTCTTCATTTCCAATATAAACCACAGAGTACATAGATCAACTCTATTTACTATGGGAGAACACTGCACAAGGGCATGAATACCAAGAGTTGGAGTATCTTTGAAGCCATGTTGGAGATTCACCACAGTCCGCCTTTTGGTTTCTTACTGACTCCTGTATCTCCCAAATGAAGAATAGTCTCACTTTTTTCCAAGATACAAAAGTCTCAACCCATTGTCCTATCAGTCCAGAATCTTGTCATCTAAATTGGGATATGTCTCTTAGGTGATGTATTTTAAGTGCTCCTCAAGTATGGTTCCTTTTCATCTTAATCCCTGTGCTTCTTATACTCCCTGAACACAATGGAGTGAATGGTGAAGGAGAACTCCAACAAATATGCTTGTTTAAATAATAGAGAAAATAGAAGGCTCTGAAGAGTTACTTGGGCATAGAACCCTTCAATGTGGTTGGATACATGTTGGGCCAGGGATGTAGCTCAGCAGCACAGTGCTTGCCTGGCAAGCACAAGGTCCTGAGTTCGATTCCCAGTACCCCTCCCAAAAAAGAAAAAAGTAATCCATGTTTTCAGCTAGAGTTTTGTCAGTTTGCTTTGGTCTGTAGAATTTAGACGATCCAAAGATCATTTCTCATTTTGTACTGTATCTGTGCGTCTAGGATGGCAGTGTTTTTACCAATATAATTTTTTAGGACCTTAAGTGTTTCCTAGGAATCTCATTGGATTCACTGTTATTGGACCAAATTCATATCCAGAAAACTGTCTACTCAGGCGAGTCCCTCAGCTTAAAGTGGCCAGCCACAACACCAACACAAATGCATTTTCAAAGCTCGCTTGTTTACCTGAATGATTTCCTGAATCACCAATATAGGTATTTTTGAGATCTAAACAAAGGTTTTACAGTCCTACTTTTACCTCATTGTTTGATATTTTCTTGGCAACAGCCTGGAGTTTGTCTTTGCCTGAAAACAGTTTATTTTAGCACCATTTTCACATAGGGAAACTGGGAATTTTCAACACTAGCAAGTTTCAGGTCCTCCTTCCCTCCCTCCTTGCTTTCTTTTTCTAAGTCCTTCCTTTAGATTATCTATTTTTTTCACATTTTGCTATAATCATTAAGAAGATATGAGCTTGTACCTTCAAAGCTCTACCCAGAAAATGTCCTCAGCTAGAATACCCAACTGAATAAGAACATTTTCTATCTTCCAAATTACTGTAGGTACCCAGGTTATTAAAATTCTGCCTCTAAATAACAACGATCCCTTTCCTCCAATTTCCAATAACATTTTCCTCATTTCCCTTTATATCCTTACCTACAGTAATCTCAAGGCCATAAAGATTCTACTAACAGTTTCTTCAAGACTCTAGCATTTAAAATTTTCCTCATAGTTCTTCCAGCTTGTGCTCACTGCCCATTCCAAAGCCATTCCAAGATTACAGATTTTTAGTAACAAAACAAACTTACTCACTAAAAATCTATATTAGTATGGTTGCATAACAGATTTCCTAACATTTTGAGTTGTCTTGTGGGCTAATGATTGCACTTGGCATTGGAATTGTCCAAGTTCTCAGTAGGATCACCAATAGCTGCAAAGCATCTGTATTGGTTGTTGTTACTGTTACTGATTATTGGCTCTTGTTACTGAGACACGATAACTGATACCTACAACTGAAGTTGGTAAGGTATTTTGGCTCCCAGTTACAATGAGTTCAGTCCATGGCAGGCTCCCAGGCAGAACCAGCATAGTAAAAGTGCATTGTAGAGAAATGCTACACCAGGTCATGGTGTCCAAGAAGCAAAGAGAGAAGGTAGGAATTGGGAATAAGAATACACCTTTCCGAGTTCACCCCTAGTGACTCACCTCCAACCAAACCACACCTCCTAACACATTCTGCTACTAAATTTATCAATAGATGAATCCACTGATGAAAACAGCATGCCCATGGTCCAATTGCCTTCTGCTATCACTTGTGTCTAGATGTCCTCCCAAGGCCTTAATTCAGTCATAGGTGGGGCTTTTCATAGTGGCTAGATGTAGAGTGTGTGATACTGGAATCAAGGATATGTGAGTACTACATCGGTCCACTGATTGGCTTGGCGTAGTTCTGGGAATGGATAATAGAGAGGTCCACGCCAGGTGTGAGTGCTGCCCACCCTGAGGGCAGGCATCCTGGACCGACTGTAAGATACAGAAGGCGGGCTGCTGGGCTGATGGCAGCTTCCTCACTGCTTTGTTGTTTTGCTGTCCTTTTCCTGCTGCCCACCAAAAACTGTTTCTGCTCTGCAATGCCCCTATGCCACCCCACTCTGCCTTGGAGCCAGCCGGCTATGAACTGAAACCTCAGTAGACCATGAGCCAAATAAACCTTTCCTCCTTTAACTGTGGATGCCAGATATTGTGTCTGAGCAATGAGAAAAGTAACTGAGACACCTTCGAAGCACATGAGACTATTGGGGCACATTTTATATCTAAGCCATAAGATCTCTAAGATGTTT